TACTGGAAATTTTTTGACGTTTACAATAACAGACCATTTTTGACAGACTGGTTTTTATTTGTTCACATAATAGGTTTATTTTTTATACATTTTAGTTACAATGCTAAGGTGTTTTCTATATTCTTCGGTCACTTCTTTTCTTCTTAATGGCGAAAATGCAGGAATTTGGATGCTTTGAATTATGTGTCTATGTCTAATAAAATATATATAATATTTAGACACTAATTTATTCACCTTTTTCCCATTCAGCACTTTGAATTTTGCGTAGTTTAGGTGCAAATATTCGTGGACAATTCGGAACAAATTTTCGTTTTTCAAGTTGGAGCCACAATCCTCTATTAATCCGAGTAAGTAAGTCATGGTGCAATGATTGATCATTACATCAGACAATTTCACGCATATTTTGCATAGCGTATGATTTTCAAATCGATTCATTTTTAAACAAATAGGTAATTTTGTTGGTTTTACTTGCTGTGCAATATTCTTTATCGCAACAAAACGCGAGTTATTTAATGTTTTGAACTGTCAAAATACAATGATCACAGCCTCCTACGATTGATGCTTGCTGACGCTGGTTATGAATTTCATACCATATTAAAGCGCTCATAACGCATATTAATAAAAACGCAGAAAAGCAATTTTCTACCACTTGTAGTTATTCAAAACTTACGTAAAATTAAAGAATATACTATTTTCTATTTTCAAATGGTATTCCCATGCAACTACAATGAGTATAAATAAGCAATTTGAAGGCCTAAATAATTGCAGCGAAACATTTTTTTACGTCGGGCCGCTTGACAACTTCAAAACTGAAATTATATTCGAGGTTAGGGTCTCACTTAGTTACCATGACAACTCAACAATCAAGGCGACAACACCTTTTATGTTTCACTGGTGACTTGGAGAAAATAATTTGCATTGTTGAGAAACGAAAAATAAATTTTAAAAATATTTAATTTTCAACCATAATTCGGCGTGTAATTTTCTTACCGAATACCACGCGAGGTCAAATTAATATCAGGAAATTTTTTCTGCCCATGAATATTTTTAGAAAATTTCATGAGCTCGAAAAAATTTCCGGAAATAATTTGACCTCTAGTGGTATTACTAGTAAAAATACTGTAACCTACCGCACTCAGGTACCATAATCATTTATTAATTCCATTTTATTAAAAAAGTTGCATTCTTATTAAATACCAAATTCTTCATTTAACAAAAATCTCCCAGATAATTAAATCTTATTTACGACACCTAATAAATAATATCTATAACCCAGCCCGTAAGAGATCCAATTTCTTAAAAGTGTCTGGGAACGCAATCTAAAACCACCATACAACACGAAGTAATAATCATTAAAACTCAACGAACTTATCTTAAGTCAGTTTTGAATAGGAACGTTGTTTTCGCTACACAAACTTTCCAAGGCAAATAATAAATTCCCCCCCTATCCACCTAAATTCGTATTTTCTATGAGAAACAGAACGATAGAGACGTCACAAAAACGATTAAACTGTGTATAAAAACCAGAGTTAAATGAGCTCAGAGTCATTCAATTTTTGTCATTTGATGTGCAAGCATACATTTGTTAGTTCACATTCAAAGCAATCACCTTATTGTCAGTACCCAGTTATACAGTCTGTACCTTTCCTAAAACGCTCTTCCTAAACGACGTCTATCCCACAATACCTCCAATTTCCCAAAGGTGTCAACGTCTCGACGCCGGACGCCTCTCCGTTCTACTTCCCTACCTTTCGACGTCCCAACTATATCACTTCTAATACCACTTAGTATTTCCTACCATTATATTCATCCTGACGCCCAACGTCTCGACGCTCGACGTCACTACGTCATCTCTTTATCCGACGTCCCCATCCGTCGCTCAACGTCCCTGCTAATTATCCAGAATACAAAAATATAAAATATCTGAAATAAAGGGTGTCCCAACAAGAGCGCCGGATTTAATTTGAAGGAAAAACACATTTATGTTTTGAATTAAGTCAACATTTTTATTTTAACATAAAGAAAAATGGTTACGATTAAACGTGAAATACAACATCAGGCAAATGGCCACCACGAAACCTCTGGCACAGAGTTATTCTTTTGGTGAAATTTTGAATCACGTTTTCGCATAAATGAGGCTGTATTTCACCAATAACGTGCCGTATTTCCTCTTTAAGATGTTCCACTGTTTCAGGCTTATTTGCATACACCTTTTGCTTCACATAGCCCCAGAGAAAAAAGTCCATCGGCGTTAGATCGCATGATCTTGGTGGCCAATGGTGATTGCCAAAACGAGAAATGACACGGCCTGGAAACTTAGTCTGCAGTAACACCATTGTTTCACGAGCTGTGTGGCAGGTCGCACCGTCTTGTTGAAAAAACATGTCCTCCACATTAATTTCATCCAATTCGGTCCACAAAAAATCCGTTAACATCTCGCGATATCGCTCACCATTAACAGTTAGCGCATTTCCAGCCGCATTCTCAAAGAAATACGGCCCAATCACTCCGCCAGCCCAAAATGCGCACCAAACAGTTACTCGTGGTGGATGCATTGGTTGTTCAAGTATCACACGAGGATTTTCAGCACCCCAAATCCGACAGTTTTGTTTATTTACATATCCGTCGAGTTGAAAATGTGCCTCATCTGAAAACATTATTTTCTTCGAAAAATCCGCATTAATTTGATGATGCTCCAACACCCAATCAGCAAATCCACGGCGTTGCGCATGGTCTCTTGGCTTGATTTCTTGCACCAATTGAACCTTGTACGCATGCAAGTGCAGATCTTTTACCAAAATTCGTTGCATAGTGCCTCTGGAAATGTTTAATTCTTGACCACGATGCCGAATGGAAGTTCCCGGATTCTCGGTCACAGATTCCCTTACTGCGGCTATATTTTCGAGTGACCGACAAGGACGACGACGTACAATGGTCTTCTGATCCATCAGCGTAAATTTGGTCTCAAATTTTGTAATTAAACGCCTCACTGTCGATTCATTTGGCGCATCATGACGACCGAAAATTTGACGTAAATGGCGAACTGTTTTCGCAAAACTTTCACCATTTTTGTAATGTGTTTTTACAATAATTAAACGTTGTTCATTTGAATACTTCTCCATATTCTTAAATCGCGCGGTCTGTAGGTGACATCTGTCAAAAAAAATTGACAGTGCAACTCGTATTAACAAAATGGCGGCAAATTTAAATCCGGCGCTCTTGATGGGACACCCTTTAGAAACAGACGATAATATAAACCCAACGGCCTGTTTATCCGATGGTAAGTTAATAACAACCAAATTAAATTTGTAAAAATGGGAATTTATTGTTGAATAATAATGAGTATTATTGTGTAACTCATTATTATTCAATAATGGTAAATCTTTACCTTTAAGGAATTTATTGCTAGCCGACGTCGCATTTAGCTCATCCAGATGTGTATGCTATGGGCCATATTGCCTTCAAATTAATATATCACCGTAAAAGATAATAAGAGTCTGGTTACCGAACTGTCAATGAACCCTCGCAAATAACAGCTCAGCTGATTGGGGTAAATGACACATCGGACGACTAGACTCACATTTATCCGAATATGCTTGATGTTACTACAGGGTTGGACTATCTTAGATAATTATCTCTCAATCTTCGCACCGTAGGTAGATCTGAACATAAGGGGTAGTTCGCTGGTATTGCTCTGGCTCTATTCTAGTAAGACTACATCTACATAAAACCCCCCTAGGTGAGGCTGAAACATAAGGGATATCCGCCTGTTATTGCAACGACAGTATCTCAGTAAGCGCACCTATATAAAAAAAGAAAACAACGAAACAAAGAATTATTAAAGATAGTGCAATTCTGAGGACGTCTGCTGTCTATTCTCAAGAATTGTTTATTACAAATATTTGATGGCAAGTGGCCTGTGGCCTGTTGTTTGGGCGAGACACATGTGAGGTCTACCTTATATTAAAATAATCTGTACATATTTATTTTATTGGAGATCAAGAAAATAAATTAAGTTAAATATACTTTGAGCATTATTTCATTCACAAATTTGTACCAAACTTTGCATCGAATCCTGGTTTATTTTAATTAACATTATCACAACGTGGGTATATAAATTATCAATTAATTAACTAGACGATCACTACACTACTAGAGGAAAAGGCCATATACAGTAAGTATGAATTTCTTTGAATTTCACAAGGGGAGGGAGGTAGTTAAATTAAAATACGGGCTTTTAATAATTATCTACAAGACCGGGGGTGGGAGGTCACAATACATATTTTCCTTTAATTTTAAATATGAATACAAGAACACAGAGCCATAACATAACAAATAACATAATAAATAGGAAAATGAAAAAATGGAAAAATCGCTACTTTAAGTTTTCTTGGTACTACATGTTGTACATAAAAATAGTTTGTCCTGTTGGACATGCTTTAAAATACAATGAATGTGGTATGTTCTACTGCAGTTGCCACATTTGACACCTCCGACTGTTGCAGATAAATTGAACGTGCAAATAAAGCATAAGCCAGATTTGAGTTTCTCGTTTTGACCAAATGTTGATGGTGATATGATAACTTGCGATATTATATTCACTGATTTTTGGGTTTGTAAATCTAGTATATTAATTAAGGAAAGTGTTTTTTTATGAAATAACAAAATAAAACAATAGGTTTTAATTAAAAAGGATACTCTCTGATGGTGCGCTATGTTCCAGAGATTCTACTTTGACATTGTCAAGTTGGAAATACTTTTCTTTTTTGATATTTTTTGTTTGAATTTGTACGGAAGGAAGGTTGTGATTAAAATTCAAACATTTAGTTCCAATTTCTAGAATATTAATTAAGGAAAACCTTTTAATAATATAAAAATAAAGCAATAAAGTTTTAATAAAAAAGGATACTCTCTGTTTGAGCGGAATGTTCTGTAGATTCTTCTTCGACTTTATCAAACTGGAAAACCTTTTCTTTTTTGGTGTTACTTTTTGCTTCAATTTATACCAAAGGAGGTTTTTGATTAAAATGCAAACATTTAGTTCCAGTTTCGCATGAAAAGCAGCTAGTATGATTTAGGAATAATAAACCTGAGTTTTTCTTTGACCATGTTATTTGGTGATGGGACATTATTTGAGGGATAGCAACACATTTTTTAGGCATCTCTTTTTTTGATGGTTTTATAAGTTCACTGCTGACTTCCCAGATTTCAATAGAACTGTTTTGTGGCACATTCTTGATAAAAGATTCTACTGACGATATATCTGTACCAGATAGTACTAAGCAGTCTGCTTTTCTTTTTAAAGCAGCTCCGACACCGTCCATTGGACCCTTGCCGTGGCCGCTTGCGCTATAATTCCAGCTAATTGCTTGTATATTTTTAAAATATTTGGGTATCTTAGAAATTAAAAAGAAAATATTAAAACGGTTTTTATATTGAGATGTTGGACCATCTGAAAAAAAATGTAACTTAGAAATGGCCGGATATTGAGTAGAAATATTTAGTAATAGTTTATCAAGGTGCGCCCAAATTGCATGACACTGGTGATCGAGATTATCACTTACGGAACATAAGTTGAATTTTCTCGAAAATAATATATTCCAGTGTGTAATGAAATTTGCTTTTTGGATGCTCCGAAATGCATTGACTGTATTTCGGTAGAATATTTCGCTACGTAATTTTCAGAGAAATTAACCTGAATTAATATTTTATCGGATTTAAGTGACTGTTTTTTTTATGTAACTGTAGCATTTGGTTTTCCATTATAAAAACATGTTTCAGAAAATCGATGGTTTGTTTATTTAGAATTTCAAATATTTTTTTACACAAGAAGTCGTTTGAATCTTTACTGTTCTTTTGATTTGTTTCTTAATATCTTTAATATATCTCTCTTCAGCTTTAGTTTCTTACTGATAGTATCTTATTTCTTCTTATAGTTTACCTTTAGCTTCATGTTTTAAACTGCAAATTTTTTCTTTGCAACTAAGGCAACGTCTAAACATACAATTAATTTTTTTTGTGTCACAAACTAGGTCATTTATTAGTTCCCTAGAATTTCTTGCATTTATCAAATTCGCCCTTTGCAAGCTAGAAATAATAAAATACATATTTTCACTAGTAATACCACTAGAGGTGAAAAAATTTCCTGATATTAATTTGACCTCGCGTGGTATTCGGTAAGAAAATTCCACGCCGAATTATGGTTGAAAATTAAATATTTTTAAAATTTATTTTTCGTTTCTCAACAATGCAAATTATTTTCTCCAAGTAACCAGTGAAACTTAAAAGGTGTTGTCGCCTTGATTGTTGAGTTGTCATGGTAACTAAGTGAGACCCTAACCTCGAATATAATTTCAGTTTTGAAGTTGTCAAGCGGCCCGACGTAAAAAAATGTTTCGCTGCAATTATTTAGGCCTTTAAATTGCTTATTTCTACTCATTGTAGTTGCATGGGAATACCATTTGAAAATAGAAAATAGTATATTCTTTAATTTTACGTAAGTTTTGAATAACTACAAGTGGTAGAAAATTGTTTTTCTGCATTTTTATTAACATGCGTTATGAGCGCTTTAAAATGGTATGAAATTCATAAGCAGCGTCAGCAAGCATCAATCGTAGGAGGCTGTGATCATTGTATTTTGACAGTTCAAAACATTAAATAACTCGCGTTTTGTTGCGATAAAGAATATTGCACAGCAAGTAAAACCAACAAAATTACCTATTTGTTTAAAAATGAATCGATTTGAAAATCATACGCTAAGCAAAATATGCGTGAAATTGTCTGATGTAATGATCAATCATTGCACCATGACTTACTTACTCGGATTAATAGAGGATTGTGGCTCCAACTTGAAAAACGAAAATTTGTTCCGAATTGTCCACGAATATTTGCACCTAAACTACGCAAAATTCAAAGTGCTGAATGGGAAAAAGGTGAATAAATTAGTGTCTAAATATTATCTATATTTTATTAGACATAGACACATAATTCAAAGCATCCAAAGTCCTGCATTTTCGCCATTAAGAAGAAAAGAAGTGGCCGAAGAATATAGAAAACACCTTAGCATTGTAACTAAAATGTATCAAAACTAAACCTATTATGTGAACAAATAAAAACCAGTCTGTCAAAAATGGTCTGTTATTGTAAACGTCAAAAAATTTCCAGTATAATTCGCTGTTGGGTACCCCACGAGAAAAAAATTTCCACTAAAATACCTCCGTTGCCATGGTGATCTGTCAAAAACACGTATTTTGATTGGTTCAAAATTACAGGTGTGGAATTTTCATATTTAATACACGCATACGTATTTCTATCTTTATGTGTTGCTCGAACTATCCAAAATGGCTTGTATTTTACTAAAGTTGTCTCTGAAATATGGAGACCTCCACTGGCAATATACTTTTTGTGTAAATTTTTAAGGGAATCCAGTAAAGTCGTTTTTGTTTTTTGATTTTGCTTTTTCGAACATAGTCTTTCTTGCCAGGACACATTTTCGAGCAGTAATCTTCTTTCAGAAACTCTTTAACAGTAATTCGAACTTTCTGCGTTTTTTCATTATTTCTTTTTTTCCTGCAATACTGATTGAATGGTAATGTATTGCCTGGTCTGCTAGTTACCTTGCGCAACATTTGTGTACGAAAGAATGTTTGAAAAATCACCTACAGCATTATATTTTCTCAATATTTTTCCACTAATTATTTTAGCCGCAATTTGTTTTTCAGTTTGTGTTTTCAGTTGTTGTACGTTTTCTTTTAACTGCAAATGCAGCGCTTCTCCTAACACTAATTGTCTTTTAACTCCTTCGGGTACCTTAAATCCTTCTACTAGTTTATTTATCTTTGTTGCTGGAGTTTCAGCTGGTAGTCTTCCTTTACTAGATTCCAATGCTGCAATTTTTAATTTTTGTCTTCTAACCTTTCTTTGAGAGTTTCTAAGTTTAGTCCTTCAGTCTTCTATAATATTTTGCGACTTTCCCGTTTTACCTTTTTACGACCTTCTTGACTTTTTACTAAGTTAGGGGTTTTAGGTGACTCACTAGTTTCCGCAAGTTGAATATCTTGATAATCTTCATTATTACTTATTGGAGGTGAATTATTGTCTAAAAATGTTTCCATTGCCGCCTGCGACCTTACTTTTTCGGTACTCTAGACTAGACACTTTCCATTTTTTTCTTATATTTTGCTGTTTTTTTTTTATCAAGATCTCTTTTACTTTTTAACGTCCTTCTTCCTTCAATTTTAAGTATCTTTCTCTATATTTTCTACGTTTTTCCTCTCGCTGTTCGTCATTTTGGCTCTAAACTTTTGAACCCGTTTTGTACTTTTTTCTTGTAGTATTGCCTTTTGTATCATTTGTTTGTTTTTTTTTTTTAGGGCGTTTCTCAAGATTTTGTTTACTTTGGTTTTAATATTTAAGTCAGTCTTTTTTATCTTTGTGTTTTCTTTAGTATTTTGGTATTTTTTCTTTATTTAAAATATCAATCTGGATCGTTTTCGTGTTCTGTTCTTCTGAGTTTTTATGTAGGTGTTTATCTGTAAATTCTATATTATTGCTGACTTCTTTCAACACAATATTCCGTATTTTTCTTTGTTTATTAATATTGTATAATTCGTTGTTGTTTGTTTTGCTGTGAGTGTTTTTCTTCAATATCCAATAATCTGTTCTTATTACTTTCTAAATGTTTCTACTTGATCGTCTTTTTTTTTTTCTTTTCTTTTTTTTGTTTCTTATATTTCTCATTTTTTTTATAAGCTTCTTTGCGATCCTCTTTAAGGTTCTTTTTTAATTCAAATACTTTTTTGTGGTTCATCGAATTCTGAAATATTTATAAAAAACTCGTAAAAAATATTTATAGAAACATAATGTGGTAATATCGTATCCCAAACACGAATAAATCATCAAAATGATCATTATTGTGAGTACGCATACCACTTACGTCATTCCGGAAACTAAACGTCAACCCGGAAACATTTTAGCTACGGTACAACTGTTTCCGAATTGACGTTTCCGAGATGACGATATTTCACAAAATGATTTACAGTGATCTTGATTATCGATCGAGAAACATCCAATTTTGAGGTTAAGTTACTAAACACTTGTTTTATTAAAATAAAGTAGTTATAGCGTTTAAATATACAATCTACTTAAGTATAGCACGTTTCCGAACTGATGCATAATAAAGGTAGGCAAAACTTTTTCAATGTTCCCTTGTTAATTGTAGAAAATATATAATTATTTGCTTAAACTTACCTACATGTTTTAATGAACAATATCACACACTGAAGGTATGTTTTCGTGGGATATTTGAATTTATGTGGTTGGTTTCCGAGATGACGAATATCATTCTGGACACAAAACATTTGATTATATCAAAAATATGGTTTAACCTGGGAGATTTAAAATACATTTTCATAATAAAGACTATTCAAGAAATGTAATGCTTTCTTTTATTTATTTAAAACGAGAATGGAAACCAAATCACGGGGTATGGAACTTTAAAATATGAATTTGGACCCGTTTCCGAAATGACGATTTCGGCTATAAAATATAAAATTAATAAAAAAGTGTAAAGTATGTGAATCTTATATTTTATTTGCCGGTCAGAATATTATCGTGGCTACCAAATAACATTGAATTCACTGTTTTAGATGTAATAGTTTTTTGACGATTGTCCCATTATAAAAATTTTACCCTACCCTACAGCTTCCAGGTTATTTGGAGTTTCTAAAACAACTTTAGAACGAAAGGTTGTTCTGTTCCTGTACATATATATATATATATATATATATATATATATTTTTTTTTTTTTTTTTTATAAAAAGGTTGTTTCAAAATGTTTTAACAGCGTAATCTATATTGTAACGATGTTCCCCAGTAACACCGTTTTAGATACCCCTATGGTTCAGCATGTAACCGTTTTTGCCAAGCAGAGACAAGTATACAAAGAGCTCCGAATTTAATTTTCGTCAGTCGAACTAAGGTACTGACTTAGTAAGACTCTCCTCTCCTGCTCCTGCTGAGGTATTGACTCTGTGGGCTTCCCGACGTCCCGACCCTTACCTGCAAATGTATTGACTTTGTAGGTGTTCCTTTCCCGTGAATCTCTTCCACGAAGGTATTGACTTCGAGGGACTTCCATCACCGTAAAGGTAACCTAACCTCTTGTCACATCTTCACCACACCATCCTGGACCACTAAGTCACGCCGAACCGACTCACAAAATATATTTTGAGGAACAACATTTGAAATACATTAATTTATTCCTTTTCGTTTGTAAATATTTTAAAACAATATATGTGTCAATGTTAACTGGCCGTATTACTGGTTGTTAATTCCTAAATTTATTTCCCCCTTATATTTCAGCTAGTGATTAATTCTGTACCAGCCCAAGCAACGATTAAAGCCCGTTACTTGTGGCCTACTATTACCTGTGTCTAATTAACCTTTGACCCCTGGAATTTTTCATCTACATCTGTAGCTACCCGAGTACTTTCGACGCCGTTTCGAAAGTTCGAGGAGTAAACCATCACCAAAAATCTGGCGCTCGAGAACCGCCCGTAACCAGCGTCATTCGTAAGGAATCGTTTTTCTGTGGCGAGAAAACCCCTTACAATATCCTAAAATAGGAGTAAAATTTTATATAAACATAGGTCCGAAAACGTTTTGTTTCCGAGATACAGAGTGTTAAAAGTGAAGTCCTGATGACACATTTTTTTAAATATTTTCTAAATTTTTACAGATAACTAAGAGAAATTTGGTACAAATGCTAAACTTTTTAAGCTCTATTTAATGATCATCTTCATAGGTGGGTAAATTAGGGAAGCGGCTTAGTGCTAAATTGTTCTAAGTTTTTTGTTGACTGTTTTTAACATTTTTGACTACAAAATTTGGAAAACCAATATTTTCTTTATAAAAAAACTACTTTTGTGTTATCTCGCTAGGACACACCATTTTCAAGAGAAAACCATTTGATAATTTCATGATAAGTTGATCTTATCTTATTCGAAAGTGTAAACAATAATTAGTAGGCCTGTGGAATCAAAAATTTAATTTTTTTTAACTTTGTAAAACCGGTGACTAACAAAATTTTAGAAAATATTTAGAAAAACGTGCCATCAGCAGCCTGTATTTTGAAAACGAAACGTTTTCTGACCTAAGTTTAGATGAACTTTTACTTCTATTTTAGGATGTAGATTACGCTGTTAAAATATCTCTCACTCTCTCTCTTATACTTAGATAAGCTGGCCTATCAAGTACTGTACCTCTTTTTTGTGTGAGAGTTATCAGTGTATTATGTTTTCGTGCAATTTTTTATAACTATAATTTAGTTTTAGAGTCAATAAAGATGTCACAAATTTGTTTCATTTTAATTAGGTGATATAAGTAAATATATAAATTTGATAATCTTGGCAATATCATAATTTTGAAAGCAGGGACATTATTATCCTGATACCCAACAGGATAAAAATTATCTGGCAACACAAAAATAAAAAAAGAGCATTTTTGTTATTACCTTTTAAGTTTTTTCATATAGTATACTTACACTTACAGATATTTTGTATTACTCGAACGCATTATATTACGTGATAATGGGTGAAATTATGATCAATATCATAATTAAATACTAATGAGGAGAATATAATTAGAAACAGAATATACCATAAAAATAATTTTGATTTCTCAGTTGGTTATGATAGATGGTTTTCTCAATTTAAAGGGGTTATTATTTCCCGAAATAGCAAAAAAAATATTCTTTAGGTTTTAAATAGAAAAACATTAGCAAAAATATATGCTACAAACCCAATTCTGATATATCTCATAGAAACAGAGATACATCACTTGCAACGTAGCTAAAGTATTAAGCAAGCATAAGCCAGTTTATATTAGGAACCACAAGAGCAAAACAAAATAAATTAATATATAATTCTGAAGCAAAAAACTATGGCACAAACCTGATTCTGATATATCTCATAGAAACAGAAATACAGCACTTGCCACTGTAGCTTATGTATCAAGCTAGCATAGCCATTGTTTCTTACGAACCACAATAGCAAAAAAATAAATTGATATATATTTGTAAAGTAAATAATTAGCAAAAAAACTATGCCGCAAACCTAATTCTGATATGTCTTATAGAAACAGAAATACAGCACTGGTTATTATAGCTTCAGTATCAAACTAGTATGGCCATTGTTTCTTACGAACCACAAGAGCAAAAAAAAAGTTGATATATATTTGTAAAGCAAAAAATTAGCAAAAAATATGCCGCAAAACTGCTTCTGATATATCTTATAGAAATACATCACTGGCCATTGTAGCTTAAGTATCAAGTTAGCATGGCCAATGTTTTTTGGTAACGGCAGGAGCAAAAATATTAAAATTTGGGTAACAAAATAGCAAAAAATTAGCCAAAAAATATAGTATAAGTCGCTCTGTAGACTTATGACTTTACCATGCTAGCTTTTTAGAGACATTCTTACTTCAAATGGGTATCAAATTATATTCGTCCAGTAGACTGCAATGGCATACATTTTCAAGTTATACCTAGCTTGTGCGGGACTAATAATATGCACGTAGGTGTAAAAAAAAAATAATGAATATGTCGGCAGTGCTTTTTCCAGAGGAGATAGAAGAGGAAAAAACATAAACATCAAAATTACTTATTTGACAAATTAGGTATGTTTTTATATTTTGTACAATAACAATGAAATATTTTAAAAAAGCTCTCTATACTTTTTAGATGTTTCTCCAAAACCAGGTTTAACACAATAATTTTTGTAATAAAATAACGAATTTCCTTTATTCCGCTACTTCATAAAAATATGACAACGTACCTTGATATAAATTTAAATTTTAGGTGGTGACATCTATACAAAATTATGTGAACTTAAAATTACAGGAATCGAAGCTGTTTGATATTATGTTGGTTGCATTATTAGGGTTAAAGTAAACGCCGTGGCTAGCCACACGTTAAAAATCATGGTAGTGACGTCATGGATGTGACGTCACGGAAAATTCGCAGTATGACAGTTGTCTTTAAGGTTAGGTAATCAATCAATTTTTACTTATTTTGTTTTGGAAGAGGTATACTAATGAGCATAATAAACGATATAGA